TTATTATTATTATTATTATTATTATTATTATTATTATTATTATTATTATTATTATTATTATTATTAACATTATTATTATTATTATTATCACCATTATTATTATTATTATTGTCATTATTATCATTGTTTTGATCGATTCCTTGAATATTATTATCATTTCCTTGAACATCATTTTCAACAGTATTCTTGATAGTATCTTGAACATCTGGTGCATCATTTATGGTATCATCTACCATATTTTGAACATTTTCTTCTATCACTTTTTCAGAACTTACTTCCTTATGAACTTTATCTGGTGAAAAATAATATTTCATAAGAATCTCTACGACCTTACGTAGATAAGGCTCAAGTCTAAAAAAAAAAACGAAATAATATATATAATAAACATAATAAACACGATTCACTAATTTTTAATGATTTTAAATAATTCAATTATAAATACCTATAATATTGTTCAGTAATGGCTTTAGTTAGTGTTAGAGATTTATTATAACGGCTTATATGTCCAAAATCAACATATAAAGTGCGCTTATTGTTATCATGCATAAATGCAAGTTGATTTAGATAAGGACGATACGAAAGATCATCCTCATAATAACTTTGAAATAAAAACGATAAAGTCGTGTAAGAACGCGTCAAAATATAAATAACTTAGCCTTCCATAAACCTTGAAGTGTTTTACTTGACTTACTCTTCAATAAAATCCATAAAAATATACGCATACTCCGAGGCAAATTCATCTTGCGCTTTTTGCGTCACGTCTAAAAATTTTTTCTTTCGATTTCCCTTTTTTTCATTTTTTTTATTGTTTCGCCCTACTTCCTCAGCTTGACTTTGTACGTTAGAGCCTATGAAATTCATAATTTTTTTTTGTATTCTTTTTTTTTCTTTAGCGTTCTGCGTTAGCAACGAACAAATCAAAATCTTTGATATAAAAAAAAAAGGACGCGTCTAAGATTTATTTAGATGTCACCCGATAGAAATTTAATCAACACGTTCCATATATGTGTCGTGTGGCTGGTGTGGTGACATAAACAAGATCAACAAGTTTTAATGCCTATACTGTTTTTAGAATATTTATATACAGGTCTAGTAATCAATATGGAAACTTCATTGCTAATAAAAACGAGATCAAATGATAAATATTGGATCGAATATTAATTCAAATTTAATTTAATTACAGTATTTAATATTGAGGCCAAGCCTTAGAATAATTAGTTAGAAAAAAAAAAAATCAAGTCGTCCAGAAATATCTGCTTAACTGCTTAAAGCTAAACATTCTTTCGTACAGCCACATCAAAATTGATTTAATGAGAACTCTAGAGTTCAACTTCTACCTCTTTTTTGTTATTCATAAATAAAAGACCTTAAATATGATATAACAATGAAATTTATCAAAATTTAGAAAGTAATTTATTAAATTTTTAAAAATCATATAAGTGTCTTTTGAGTCATATTGTTCATATTTTTTTATTATTATTACTATTATTTTGGTGTGTTTTTTTTTTCCATAAAAATAAAAAATAATATTAAATATGACAACCTCACTTGCGCAGTTTCTAGAAGATACATCTTCTGATGAGCAAAGTATAAAAATAATTCATTCCAATATAGAACGTATTCAGACATTACAAAATCAAATTTTGGCGAGCACCTCATTGCAACAAGAGGCTTCCCAAGGAGAAGAACGCAATGGACTTTTGGTCAATACCAAAGATTTATTGTTTCAAATGAAAGATCGTATCAGAAAGATTGAATCCGAAAATGCTCGATTACCAGCAACTGATTCAAATCTTACTGTTCGAAAACAAAGGATTGAATTAATTCGTGAAAGATTCACCGATGTACTTGAAAAATATCGGGCTGTTCAAGATTCCTATATTAACCAACAAAAAGATCGCATGTCTCGCCAATATAGAGTCGTAAATCCTGATGCTAGCGAACAAGAAATAGAAAATTATTTATCCGACCCTTCAGGTCAACCTTTTCAACAGGCATTGTTACGTACGGACAAAGCTAAAGACGCAATGGCTTATGTGCAGCAACGACATGGTGATATCATATTAATAGAACAGACTATTGCTGAATTGGCACAGTTATTTAATGAAATGCAACTTCAGGTAGAAGTTCAGGATACTGTTCTCACGGAAATCGATGAAAAAGTACAAATTGTAACAGAAGATACGGAAAAAGGTAAATTTTTATTCTGGAAATTTATTCGCATTTATTTCTATGAAATTTCTAACTTTATTTTAATATTGAATAATAGGTGCTGATCATGTGGGCAGAGCATACGAACTTGCACTCGCGGCCCGAAAAAAGAAATGGATGACAATTGGAATTGTGGTGGCGGTACTCCTAGTCATAATTATTATTATAATAATTATTAAGAAGTCATCACCATAATCGTTTATTTAAAATTATGTATAATTTGTTTAAAATTTGTGGCGTTAAAGTCACGTGCATATAATTTCATTTGCGTTATACAAATTAAATATTATTATAATTATTATTATTATTATTAAATGTATAAATGTATAACAATCTTGTTAACCCAATGAACAAGTTTAAAATCGATTATTATTATTATTATTATTATCATCTGTAATTTGTAAAAGGGAAATTCCCTCTATACATGCTTAAAAATATATGTGACATAATCTCCAGATTTCATAAAATATTTTTTTTTACCATTTAGTTTTCTTCAATCAAACAATCCTAAACAATCCTCTAAACAATTCTCTAAACATCTTCTAAAAAAATCCTCTAAACAATCCTCTAGTTAATTGTACTATTTTTATAAAGACGAAATTTCAATTATAATTATCAACAACAGTTAATAGATGTTACTCCAAAACTAGATGATCTTCTCATTATCAATTGCATAAAATAAAATTATACAGTTAAAAAAAAAACTAAACAATTAAGAATACTCATAATCTTCTTAAAAAAAAAAATAAAATAAAGAAAAATGGTGGAGCGCCTGTCCCCAAAACTTATCAGATTTTTTAAAGAAACAATTAAAATTACTATAAAAGGATCCTGTCCTTTGAAGGTCTAAATGTACAGGACTTACTTTTAAAAATTTTTGGGGAGTTTAAACAAAAAAGGTGAAAAAAAGAAAAAAAAACTATTCACAAGAAAAAGAATAATAATATAAAATATATCATGACATTCGGCAAGCCCTCCAAAAAAAATAATAAATGATGTAAATAATTCAAAATAAGAAAATGGTTTATAGTTATAAAGAAAATATGCACCAATATAAAGCTTATGTTCCCTTTTCAGCTTTTTCTTTTTCAGCCTTTAAAAAAAAAAATTTTTAAATAGAGTTAATTTAATTATCTTTAAAATTCCAAGGTCGACCTTATTCACGAAAATGTTACATACCATTGCGGCTTTGACTTTATCAAATTCTTTAAGCATTTTACGCCTGGCACCAAGAGCTGCGACACCCTTTCTTTCTAATTCAGAGTCATCCAACTCGATAATTTCTTGCCATTTCATTCCTTCAAATACAGGAGTGTATTTATGCAAACGCAGACTGCGTAACCATGCAGGAATATCTATGAAACGAAAAAAAATTAATGTCTAATAAATTTACTTTTTTAAAAATTATTTTTTGTAATCAAAAATTTGAAATTTTTGACGAACCTTCCAATAATTTAAAATCAACAGTATCGTCATTCTGTTTCTTTTTATTTTTAGAGTGATTTTTTGTGTTCATATTTGTATTTCCGTTATTATGTGATACATCGCTATGATCACTATGATAACCAACCGTTTCACCGTTTTCTTCGTTATAGCCCATGTTCGGAGGTGCCAAATGAATTCCTTTGCCCCCTCCAGTTGATGGTGCCCAATTAGAATGTCCAGGATACAAATTAGATGAATTAGGATTAGGTGACGATGGACGCGATCCCTGTCTGCCAATTGACTTTGGACTGGGAATAGGAGAATTTTGAGGTGAACGAATATTTCCATCAGCGTCATACATTGCTAAAACAATATTTGCTTGATTTGAACTATACTTTTCTTCTTGTACCGTCGCGGGAACACCGGAATTTGATTTTCCGTGATTTCGACGGAATTTTTTTACGTCACTTTCTAATACAACACGATTACCAGAACTATTACTCCAATTGGTCAATTTTTTATTAACCATATCTGCATCAGCTGCTTGTTTATTTTTATTTTCAGCAAACATAGGTACAACTGGTGTTGAAACCATACTAGCCCAACTTCCCCCGATAAGTGGTGACAGTTCTCCATCAAATGTTGGTCGTGGGGAACGTAATGGAAACCCTGTCGGAGTCCAAGGAAGTGCACTTAGATCAGCGGATTTTGGTCGACCATTACTCGTTCTATCTTTATTATTATTATTATTATTATTATTATTATTATTATTATTATTATTACTATTTGTGCTATTCGAAGAATTAGGTGTCCAAACTGTTTGATCACTTTCTGATACCATGGATTTAGGTCGAGAAGAATATAAAGAGCTACGATTACCCGTGTTCGATTGAAGACGAGCTCTTTGTTGCGCAAGAGTTGCTGCTGGATCCGAATAAATTGCAGCATCGGGGGACAGGAATTCGACACTTGAATGTCGATCATATAAACGACGTGGATACGTCGAACTTGTAGGAGATTTAAGGGACATACCAGCCAATTTTGCTTCAACTTCTGCTTTTGCCATGGCACCAGCTAATTGTGCTTGCATAAGATCTATATATAAAAATATTATCAAATTAAATATCATTAATATTATCTCTAACTATTTTCATTTATTTTCCGTTTATTTCCATTTAATAAACGTAACTCAAAATAAATTTTTAACATAAAAATTTTTAAAACTATATATTTACTTTTAGATTAATTTTCAAAAATATTCAAAAATTTAAAATAAGTTACCCAACGAACCTTTCTCTGGATTTGCTGGAGACAAAAGTGCACCCATTGGATCACTTCTTGCCATTTGTTGCAGAACTGTTATAAAGAACCGTATTTGTACTTGAGTTGAATGTTGTAATAAACTATACAAAGCTGCAGTTCGTTCTGCTTCAGATAATACTCGAAACCATTGTTCGATAGCGCTAAGTTCTTCTTTAAAATTTTGATCTAAACTTGCAGTAGCCATTTCTTCAAGAGTCTGTTCATAATGTTGAAGATCTTCAAACCATTTGTCAATAGCTTCAGCTTTGATTATCAATTAACGTTTTCGTCGAAGGTGTCGATAACATGTTTTGAAAGAAAATTCATTTTTGAAAGAAATCATTTTAAAAAAGAGTTCATTTTCAAAGAATTCATTTGAAAGAGTTGTGAAAAAAAGAAAAAAGATAAATAAAATAATTCAATTTAAATTTCAAAAGTAACTGGAAAGAACAATGTAGATTTAATCTAAATTATGTATTCAAAGAAAGTAACAGAAGTCAAATTATTAATTTTTTTTTTGTTAATAATACCTTCAGGTGATTGGTATGTATTATGATTATTAGCGGAGAATATTTCGGAGGTTGGACGAGAAGTCCTATGATTAGCTGGTGGTTGTCCCAAGTGCGAAAGGTCCGCTGATTGCCTATACTGTAGGTTAGATCCTGGCTTTTGTTGAAGATTAAACTGTTCGGATACTGGACGCTGTGTTGTCATGATGGAAAGAGTTGACGATTGTATATAGTGTTGGTTGAATTTTGTATCGAATGATCTTTGGATAAAAATGTTTGACGATCTACAACGGAGTTTTCTAATGTGAGGAAGAGAGTGGATAGAATTGTATAGATGGTGGTTGGGGTATGGTTTGGAAGAAATATTTCCTTGATAACCTTAACTTATTATGGGAACAAAACTTGACAAGTCAAATTCATAAATTCGAGCTGCGGTGTCGATCTAAAGCCTCGTTTTTTTTTAAAAAAAAAACTATATATAGGATTTTTATGAATCTTATGATATAAATAGTATAAATAGGTTAATTCAAATTCATAACACAGACAAAATTTTTACAAAGAACACTTTATAAACGGGGACACTCGCTATACCATTTGGGGAAATTATATAGAAAATCTTATTTCTAATACGGGAAATTTTTTAAATTCTGAATTTAGAAATAATAAAAAATGTTATAAATTGACCAAATATGGATTTTGTTTGCAAACATACAATCTTTATTAAAACAACTAAAATTGATATTAAAAACTGGTTCATTATTGCCAATGGTTTTCAATCAGAAGAAACAATTTCAGATTTTCAAAAAATTTTCATTTTTTTTATCTATTAATCAAAATCAAGGTTGTCAAAAATTTAATATTCATAATTTCAATAATTTCAAATCAAAAAAAAAAACAAAATTTCTAATATTTCAAAATATATAATAGAGAAGATAAAGTTCTATACAAATTCTAAATTACTAGAAATTTATCTTCAAATCTTCTAATTCAAAATTAATTAATTAAAAGTATTATTGAAATTTCAATCTTAATTTAAATCAAAATAAGAAAAAATTATTTAAACTATAATAAAAATAATATTCAATTATTCAATTTAAAATTATATAATTGAAATTTCAACATTCAAATTTATGTAAAGCATATAAAAATTTTTTATAATTATTAATCTTATAATTTGTTATTATTATAATTAATCAAAAATATTTTATATAATTATACTAGTAGGAAAAGTAAATAATCTTTATTAATAATCTGATATATACTTGTATCTAAAATTAACATAATAAAATTAAGAAAATTTATTAAGATTAGATATTTTTCGCATCTGCATGGATTTATATTAATTTGTAAATACAAGAATTAAATATTCAGTTTCAATTATTTTAATTTAATAATTTACAATCAATGAAACATCATAATCTATAATCTTATTTAAAATTCATAAGGTATTATTATGTTTATAAAATTAAATAATAATAATTTTTGAATTTATTTGTATTTTTATTTCAAATTATTAATAAATGGATTGAGTTTTTAAGATATTATAAGTATTACAAGAGAAAGTATTTAATTTTAATTTTGAATGTAAATTATAATCTTTATTGTAAAATAAAAGAGTTTTTTTTAAAAATTGATCATGTGATAATATATTATATTGACCAATCATATATTATTGATCGATAACTATGCTAATACGTATTTACTTCAAGAAACAAAGTTCACGAATACTTCGGTCAGAATGGACTATTATAGGATTCTGGAAGAATGCGACATAGGAACCTTCCGTGATAAGATTGGTTATTATCTTGCTTCTCTTGAGACCATTATTAAAGCTGAAAATAAACAAAAGACGCGAAAAAGCACAACAATTATACGAACAGTATAAACAGGCAAGTTCAAGGATTTCCTCTGGTTATAAATAAGGAATTGTGGCGTGGCAGAGATCTCAAAGCTCTCTGTCATTCAAGTCTCTAAGCCGAGCCACGAAACTAGTACTAGGGCATGGATAACCTCTAAGCTTATCTGATATTCAAGTCTCTAAGCCGATCTAGTACTGGTCCCACTTGAACACAGATAACCTCTAAGCTTGTTTGATGTTTTGGTGGGGTAAGAAATTTGTTTTAATCAAAGATACTAATTTTCTGAATCTTATTGGCAAAGAAATGGGAGACAGAACATGCACGTAAGCAGTTTCACCTCCATCAAACGACTTCTTTTGACTACGGGTCTATACATGGGCCTATACACGGGACTGTCAGTGGGACTATAACCGGGGGAACATTTGTTGCTGAATCCTCCAAAGAGAGATCTTGACAATCAGGTACGTATTTTTTTGGCTATAACTATTATTTTGCATTCGTTCCTAATAAATCTGCAACTTTAATCTTTAGGACAATAATAAAGCTCCAAAAAGAGTAAAAATTGAGGATTTTTTTGCGCGGGATACTCGAACAAAGGTTACTGAAACATCCAGCGAAAATGAGCATGTGAGTTGTTTTTCCATCGTCCAGCAAACAAGACTGAGCCTTAGAAGGTTAACCAGATATACAGATCGATATAATTAATTATTTTGTAATATTATAAAACACTTGTGTAGATGAGGATAATGAAGGGTTGATCACGATGGTACGTATGCCTAATACTTAGATGGAAATCCGATTTTATTCTGTTCTAAGGATCTGTAAATTGCAGGTGTCTTGGGAAATTATTGAAAATGCTCTGGAAATTCAAAAAACTAATTTTGAAGAAAAAGAGGAGCTAACTGAAGAAGAGTTTGAAAAAAGGTATTAGTTATTTTTCTGCCAATAATCATAAAGTAATCATTTTCACTTACAAAACGCTTTTATTAAACAGATTAGCAGATGCAGATATTGTTAATATAACTTTCCAATAAATAAATAAATTAAAAACAACCGCGCAATGTTTCCTTGTCTAAATGGCGTCGTGAAATAATTTATAGCGATGGCAATGTTTCTGCACGTAAGGCGGATGGTATTCTTCTTAATTATGAGAATATTAGTCAAGAGTTTTTACTTTTTGAGAATGTCGGCCCTCCATCAAAGACAAAAAATCCCAAGTATAAAGGTGACCTTTTAAAATGTTTCCGAAACTCTGTAGATGCAATATGCAAAACTTTCTGGAATGTAAACGGAGATGTAGAATTGGCGAGAAAGTATTACGTATTAACATACGTGTTGTACAGTAAGTTTTTAATTACCATTTTCTGTTCTGTTCTTTTTAATTCTATATACTATCGACTAAGATCTTGGTTCAAAATACGTAGGGGATAAAGGGGAACTGTTTAGATTGAACATGGGTGCCCCTAAAACCTTTGTTACTGAAAGGGTACTAACAGTTAATTATCCCTTTGAGTATTCGGCCTTTCCCTGTATTGTTGGCATCATTGATCTCCTTTTACTGTTAAGATAATATTTTTTTTCTTATGTCAAGTAAGCTTTTTAATTAATTAGAATTACACTAATGTTTCTGTGTGTAGATTATTTTCGAATCCAATCTAGATGTTCTCCATGATTATTCCAAAGTCATGTATGGAAACGTATAATAGTTTCACACCGGTTCGGCGGTGGCTTTGTTTGAACAGAAACAGTCGTTGAAAATTTATTCTGTCTCTAGAATACATATTTTAGTATTATAATTTGATTTTAGTCTCATTAATAATGTAACAATGTGCTAAAAAACTGTAATAAAGTTTCGGATCATGTATTTTTATGCGAATTTTACTACGAAATAAACAAATGGTTATACGTTTCAAATACATTAATACATTATTGGATGTATCAACTGTACAATAAATTATTTTACATTCTAGTTCATTTGCTTGAAACCCAAAAAAAAACTTCTTTTACTTTTTTTATTCTATTGGATTCAATATTGCTTTGATCCATAAGAATATATACAGGATACCATTTGTTACAAATAATTCTTACTAATTTTTAATGCTTTGGCTATAATATCACTATCTTCAATACTAACAAAAAAAAATGTGCACCCAAATCCCAACAATTATAAGAATCTTGAACATATAATGTAAATAAATGCCAATTATATCTGTTAGTTTTGTGTATTGAATCAATTAAAGTTAATCATCTGTCACCTATATAGGTGTAGTATTTATAAAATTTTTAACCAGTGTATGGGAAGCTTTACTTACAAAATGTAATATAATTTATATCAATTAGTTTATTATTGATTAGAGAATTGTTATATGATATTGAAATATTGAATCTAAATACTTACTTTCTGTAATATAATATATATGTAATTAATTTATTAGAAAATTGTTATATAATATTGAAACATTGAATCTAAATACTCACATATTGTGCAAAGTTTATTAACTCTTATAATTATGTTAGTCTAGTTATTATATTGTTATTTCGTGCTTGTATGTTACTTGGAGGAATTAGAAAGATTTTTAATAAAATGTCTTCTTAATCCTGAAAATTTGAAAATTTTTCTTGCAATGCATTTATATTCTATTATCATCAATAAAACATACGAACTCAATTTTTAATATAACATATATTGTAGTTCATGTTAATGTTATAAACAATAATAATATGATCAATTGATCCATACCCATGACAAACGACGAAGTGAACGGATTCAATATCTTTATTATCATGTGCAAAAATTTAGTTTTAAATTTTAAATTTATTATTATTTATCCATAATTCCAAACGATAACTTTATATCTAATCTGATAAATAACTGTCGTCATCAAAATCGGAAAGAAATTCTATCTCATGTGAGCAAAGATTAGGATCTTGCATGCGTGGTTTAAGGAGATGAAGTTTATGAGAATAAAGTTTTAATATTTTCTCTTTCTCAGCAAGCCATGCAGTATCATCGGAATTTCCTTCTTCAGAATTTAAAATTTTGTTCTCCTGTTTCTTATTACTTTTTTCATCATCATCATCTGAAACAATCACAGAGTTAAATGTATTTAACATTTGATTACTTAATGTCATTCCAGATATCGATGCATTAGGGGAATATATTGGAGTATTTGGGGAATGTATCGAAACATTTGGGGAATGTATAGAAGTACTTCGAGAATATTTATTTGATGATTGACCTTCCTCATTATTCAAAGGGTATGAATCTATAATCATACAATCTGACAATTGACCATCTTCAATTGAGTTTGAATCCAATTCATTATTTTCAAGTAATTTATCAAAAATATCATCTTCTGGTGCTTCAGCTATATATATATATATATATATATATATATATATATATTTATATTTATATTTATTTATTTATATATAAAGAAGATAATTTTGTGAATTTCTTTATTATCCATATAAAAAATTGTAAAAAGATTACTAAATAAATAAATAAATATTAGATGAACTGACTTACGTAGATTATTTAAGATATACTCGGCAATTTGTGAAGGGTTATAAGGAACAGATGAAATTGTATGACCTGTAAAAAATTAAAAACAAAAAGGATTAAAAATTATGCAAGAAATATGAATGTTTATTATAAGAAATAAAAATAATTACTTGATGTATAATTGCCTATAGAATTATCACTTATGAATTCTGTTATAGTTTCATTAATTGTATTAGTCGTATTAATTGTATTGATTGTATCATCAATTGTAATTGAATCAGATAATTCATTCATTTCATCTTCTTCATATCCTTTAATCTTTTCAGATCCAAAGTTACGCGATTGTTGTGATTTTTGTGATTGTTTCAATTGTTGTGATTGTTGCGATTTTTGTGATTGTTTCGATTGTTTCGATTGGCTTAATTTGACAGAATTCATTATATTATTAATATTTGGTTCTTCATTCTGAATAATAATAGGTGATGGGAAAGGAATTTTTGAGGAATCAGACAAAGAATTTATAAAATTTATTTGAGAATTTAATACGCCAGAAGTTCGTTTTCTTTCTTCTTTATCTATTAATTCTTCATTAAATTCAGTTGTGCAATTACTTTCATTTGAATTATTTGAATTTATTGTAGAATCACTTTCATTTGGATTATTTAAATTAGATTTTGCATTAAGGCGTGATTCTAATATTTGCGCTTCGGTTATTTCTACTAATACTCGTACTTCCGGTAATGGTCCTTCCGGTAATTGTGCTTCAGATGAAGAAATAAATTTATCTGAGCTATCCGTTAAATTCTCCTCTACATCATCATTTTCTTGATTACTCTCTTCACATGTGTTATATATGCTATCACTAGAATCTTTTGGATTATCATCTATTAGAACTGTTAGGGTTTGTGAATTATCCTCTGAATTATTCAAATTCATAGAATTTACTTGATCATTTAAAGAATCTTTTTCATTGGTATTATCTAGTTCCATTGCACTCTTCATGATAATTGATTTATATTTTTAAGAGGTTTTGCTGAACTTAAATTTTAAAATCAGAGAAAATAAAAATAATAATAGAACGTAAAACATGGACTACATTAATTTACTTTCTTCGCGACGTGGTACAAGCTTCATATGGGAAGCAACAAAAACTTTTAGTCCCATACTTATCACCGGAAATTATCATAAAATTGTCCGGAAAATAATAAGGAAATAATGAAAGATAATGAGAAAATAATTCGGATTGGCTTTATACATATTTGTTATTCCCATAATAACCCAATCAGATCAAAATTCACTCCAATCCAAAAAAAAAAATTTTTTTTTTTTTTTTTTTTTTATCAATCAATTCGCATACTAGTAGTCTGCTCGAACGTTATCTTTATATTTTATTGACGTTTGGTCCTGGTAAGCTAGTTAGACCAATGCATTTCCGGCAATTCATGAGAGTAGAGAAACTCCGAGTAATATAATTATTTATGAACTCCGAGTGGTTTATTTGCCAAACAAAATACATATATTTTATATATTTACATATTATTATTTAGTTAAATATTATATAAATTTTATTGATTTATAGAATTTTTGGGGGGGATTTTTATATAACGTCTATATAGAAGAATGTAAACTAAAAAAAAAAAAAAGCGGCTTTATGATTATTATTAAAAATCTACAATCAAAATAATACCAGTAAATAGATGAATTAGTTTTGGCTTTCATTCTTTTTCACTCTTTTCATTCTTTTCACTCTTTTCACTCTTCTTTTTACGAGTTGCAGTTGTGGTGGTTTTAAAATGATCGGGGATCCAGGCTTCATCATATTTATCTGATGATGTACTTATACCAGCAGCTGGGTCATCAACACTTCTTTTAGTAGGTCGCTATAAAGAAATTTTATATTATTATTTATTACGTAAATAAATAATTACTTAAAAAAAGAAAAAACATCTTTAGTATTTTTTTTTTTACCTTTTTTCCTTTTCTAGTTTTCGCTCCACCAAAGAATGCTTGGAAGATCATGTATCCCGTACCTAAAGCAAATCCCGAAAGTATCAAATACAAGAAAATACTGCACATACAATTGATAAATAAAATTAAATAAATTAAATGAATTAGTGAATTTGATATTTTTTATTCATAAATTATTAAATTGTTAAAATAACAACTTACAGTTGTAAATCAAATATAGATTGATCTGGATCAACTATGGTGACAGTTTCATTAAATCCAACTCCTTTAAATTGTTTTTTATCCTGAATAAATAAAATTCATAAATATTCGTCTAATTAATAAATTTGAGAATTTTTAAAAAAAAATTACTGGAACTAATCGAATTACCTTATCAACAAATAAGACATAAAGAACAAGTTCATATTCTTGGGGTTTAAATTCAGCATAAAAATTATATGAAATATCAACATGATCCATTGCTGGTACGGGAGTAGCAAAACGAGCGTATGAAATCTATTATTTTATTCATAACATAAAAATTTTTAGATGTTATCGATAAAAAAAAAAGAAAAGGTGATTTATTTACTTTTAACTTACATTTTGAACGATTTGATCGAGATTGTCTTTATTAAACAAGGCTCCTCCGATCAAGTTAATGGTATAACTTTCTTCTCCTTTGTTGTCAAAAGTAAATTTAACTGCATTTTTTTGACCATTTACAACATCTATATCGAATAATTGTAATGAGAATTTAAAATTAGTTAACTGTAAGTTTATATGCTTTACAACGAAAGAACTAAGGAATGCTAACGTTTAAAAGGATTTCCAGTAAATTCGCCTGTAATTTCTATGGTTTCCGGTTTTTCTGCTATAGTTGGGTTTTCATCAACAGCGGCGAAAACTAAATTTTTTAAAGGTTAGCGGTTAAAGATCATAATTATCAAATTCTCCCATAAAATGACCAATAAATTATTTTTTGAAAAAAAAAAAGGATACCCAAAGTAACATATAATAATACGGACAGCAAAAGAATGATTAATATATTCTTTGAGATAGTCATATTTCGTCAGGTAAAAAAAAAAAAAAATAAAATAAATCAAAATGTGAGAAAAATTAAGCATTCCATATTTATACCTTCGTGTCTTGCGTGTGGCATCTTTTAATTGGTTCATGATCAAATATTAGTGACGCGTTAATACATTTTCATAAATAATTAATCTCGATCAAGCCAATCATACTTAAGATCACGTGGAAATTTGGTTTATTGTTACACGATTTTTACACGTCTTAGTTTTATACGTGTCTGTATAATAAAATAGTATAAGAAAAGTTTATTTGATAAATAAAAGATTTTATCTACCATTCTACTCCTTCTACTTCACAACATTTACTTATATACATACTTAATACCTCTAGGTATCTTTAATTCACAATAAAGATTCATACAGTATAAGAGAAGGAGTAAAATGAAATCATTATTTGTTTAAACCGAAAAACTCTCCTTTGCAATAACTTTGAATTATTATTTATTTTTTTTTTGAATAAATTTAGAATTTCATAAACAAAATACAAAAAATGCGGAAAAGTGACATTAAAACCAATGGTTTTAAATCACCATTAAAGATTCCCTTTAATAATTCGTCAGTTGTAAACAAAACACAAGAGGAAAATGAAAGTTCAAAAGATCAACGACTCAGGTTTCGAAGTACCAAAGCCTCTTTCTCTAAGCCCACAAAACGCGTTAGAGTCAATGGTATATCTACTGATGAAGATGATGATTCAGATAATTATTCAAATTTTTCAGATTCTGAAGAATTTGAGAGTCGAAAACGCAAAAAGCCAAATGATAAAAAAGTTCTAAAAGTTGGAGCGAAAATTGGAGTAAGAATTGGTTCAAAAGATACAACCGACAAGAATTCTTCAAATAATAAAACTGATTGTAATATATCAGCACTCACTATTAATGATCCGAATCGAAGAAAGTTTCGACCTTTTAAAATACCTACTTTTATCAATAAACCTTCAACTGAGATGGATCAAGATTCGTCTCAAAGAAAACGATTATTCTTAGGAGGTATAAGAAAACCTATGGTGACAAGACCTTTACATGATCCAAACGCGTCAAATTCTATCATACTTTATGATCCTAGCAAAGATGAAAAAATAAAACCAAAGCAAGAAGAAGTAATTAAAAATAAAAATAGATCAGTAGCAGATATTTTAGGATTCAAAGCTGAAGCCAACAAATATGTTCATGTTGTTGTTGGTAATTCATTCATTGACAACTTTTTCAATACATTCAATATATTAAATTCATTATCAATTGGAAATAATATCAAATTTATTTATTCTAAATTGAATTTATCGGTAGATCCAATTTTAGGAGTCAAACTTCGACCACATCAAATTGAAGGTGTTAAAGTATGTATATTTATGATGTAAATAAATACTGATAATTTATTAGCTGGATTTTAATTAAACTTTCCTGTAACTTTTATATATATATATATATATATAAATCTATTCAGTTTCTTTATAGTTGTACAACAGGACAAGCAGTTGAGAATGCTTATGGGTAAATAAATATTTTATATTTTAAATTCAATTTATATTCTTTTAACATTTCTTTTTTTTAAAATATATATATATATATATATATATTATATCTCTCTCTCTTTTATACCTTTATTTTAAGTTGTATCATGGCTGATGAAATGGGTTTAGGGAAAACAGTAGGTTCTTATAATTATGATTTGGATTATAAGAAATATTCTTATAAAATGTTCAAGGTTATATAAACATGCATGTTATATATTGTGATTTAGCTTCAATGCATTGCTCTTCTATGGACTTTACTTAAGCAATCACCTGAAGCAGGCAAAAAGACAATTGACAAAGCTATTATTGTCTGTCCATCAAGTCTTGTACATAATTGGGCGAATGAATTGGGTGAGAAAATTGTATAAGAAATCTTTGACAAGTTCTTGAAAAATCCTTTACGTTAAATTATCTTTAATTCAATTTAGTTAAGTGGCTGGGATCTATTAGAATTAGACCTTTAGTAATGGATAGCAAAGGATCAAAAGAAAATCTTTTGAAAGAATTAAGACAATTTGTTGGTGCAAATGGTCGTATGATTGTCAATCCTGGTACGTCGTGTTACTTTAATTGGTTAATTACATATTAGCTTAAGTCATTTAACATTATTCTTTATTCTCCTAAAGTTTTAATTATTTCATATGAGTCACTTAGAACTCACATTGAAGAGTTAATCAATACACAAATTGGTCTTCTATTATGTGACGAAGGACATCGACTCAAGAATTCAAGTAATTTCTTATAATAAACTTTGTCTTGTTATTTTCCTAATATAGTTATTGTCTAGTTATTGTCTAGTTATTATAAGTAAATTGAATTTTACATAAAATTTAATTTAATCTTTATTTAGATTCCCTACTATTTCAAGCGTTAAATTCGCTTCAAGTTCAAAGAAGGGTCATTTTATCCGGTACACCAATACAGGTATAAATCTTTTGACTTAAATATTCAAGAATTATAATTACCATATAATTATTTATTATTATTATTATTATTATCGAAATTGAACGTCTAGAATGATCTATCTGAATACTTTTCACTTTTGAACTTTGCAAATCCTGGACTTCTTGGAACTCCCAATGAATTTCGTAGAAACTACGAAAATCCCATTCTTCGTGGACGTGATGCTGATGCTTCTGAAAAGGAAAGAGAAATCAGCGATCAAAAGTTGTCAGAATTATTAGAAGTTGTAAGCAAGTTTATAATTAGGCGAAATAACGATATTTTGTCAAAATACTGTACGTTTGATTATTTAATTATCTTTTTTTATCTTTGAGTATTTATGTGAGATAAATATATGATTTACGATTAATGTATGATATTCTTTTTTTAGTACCTGTGAAATACGAACATGTTGTATTTTGTCGATTGAGCGAATTTCAGATTTCTCTCTATAATAAATTCTTAAAGTCTTCTGATATTCAAGGACTTCTCCGTGGTACCATGTCTCAACCACTAAAAGGTTAATATTCTAAATGTCCCTTTTTTTTGTGGAACTTTTTTTTCTTGAATATCTTATGGATAAGAAAATTAGATAAATTTAAATAATGAAAAAAATACGTACATAATTTTTCTAGCTATTACTTTTCTTAAGAAGTTATGTAATCACCCCGACCTTCTTGATCTTCCGAATGAACTTAAAAATTCCGAAAAATGCTTTCCAACTGGATATTCAAAGAAGGAAAAGGGGAGATCATTTAAACCCGTGTATTCCGGAAAAATGATTGTATTAGATAGGTTTGTATCTTGTAATTTTTATTTCAATTCACGCAAGTTTAAACAGACAATTTTAATAATTTTTGAAATAATAATAATAATAATAATAATAATAATAGAATGTTGGCAAAGATCAAAAGTGAGACGAAAGATAAAATCGTGCTAATCTCTAATTATACCCAAACATTGGATCTTTTCGAAACATTATGTAAAACCAAAAAGTAATTGTCTTTATTAATTATCTTATTAAATATTATTTTTATTGTCCACTTAGTTATTTTTTTAAAAAAAAAAAATCTTAATCAAAGGTATGGTTGTTTGCGTCTTGATGGGTCTATGGCGATAAAGAAACGGCAGGCTCTTGTTACTAAATTCAATGACCCGCATAGCCCGGAGTTTGTTTTTCTACTTAGTAGTAAAGCTGGTGGTTGTGGATTAAATTTAATTGGTGCTAACCGACTTGTTTTGTTTGATCCGGGTATATGATATTTTCATTTTATAATGTTTGTGATTTTTACAAATTTGTTTATTTTATAATTCTAATTCAATTATTATAATTATTATGTATAGATTGGAATCCTGCTTCTGATCAACAGGTTAGGAAGAAAATAATTAAATATAATAAAATTTACTCGATTTCTGACTTTTTCTTTTTTTTTCATAGGCATTGGCACGAGTTTGGAGAGATGGACAAAAGAAAGAGTGTAAGTAAAATCTATCAAATTATAACGATAAAATATATTAGAGTAATGAATTATTTTATATTATATTCATATTTTTTTTAATTAAAGGAAACACTTTTTATTAACACTTTATATTATTTTTTTTTTAAAAAAAAAAGGTTTTATTTATCGATTTATTTCCACTGGTACTATCGAAGAGAAAATCTTTCAAAGACAATCACACAAACAATCATTATCCTCTTGTGTCGTAGATGAGGAATCAGATGTTGAAAGACACTTTACCTTTGAATCATTAAAGCGTCTTTTCCTCTTTGACCCAGATACAATGTGTGACACACATGGTACCTTTAAATGTCTTAGATGTGTAAAAGGAATACAAAAGATTGCTAGAAGACCAGACGAAACTATGAATTATGGTGACACGAGCTCGTATGTTTCATTGTTCTATTCTTTTTTACGCCATAATTATTTATTAATTGACCAGTCATTTTATTTTATTTTATTTTTTCAAGGTGGGATCATTTTACTGGTGGAGACGATCTTAATAAGATTCATGATAATATTCTTAAATTAGAGGCAAATCAAGGTGTTGTTTCATACGCTTTTCAATATATTTCCCATTAATAGAATATTATAAATGCATTTGTTATTCTTTGTCAATTAGAGAAAGGGACATTTTAATTAGTTATCTATGTCATTAATGTCATAGATTTATTAGTATATTGATTATTTGATTATAATTGATTATTTGATTGTTTAATTAATTAATGGAAATTATATTTTTTAATTGAAATTGTAAATATTCTTATCGATCTTGTTTATTATTTCATGAGAAATTAAATTTCAATATTATAATAATATTTATTATGTCAACTTATTTATTTTTTAATTCAATAATATTAAATTCAAAACTTTGAAATTAAATCATGAATTACGTATTAATTCGTGTTAATTCAACAACGCGACTTTTAAAAGAATAACTTGATTAACTTTGAAAAATGAATGTCGTTGAAAAAAAAAATCTGTACAATTAAATAAAATATGCAAAATAAATAAATATAAAAATATATGTCAATTATTTAAAGTGTACTCCAAAATGTGAGAAAGAGAAGTTCTAAGACTTTGAGGCTAGCATCTGAATGAATGAAATGGAATTTATCCTTAGAGAATAATAAAATTTTGATGAAATGGTTGATGTAATCAAATTATTCAAATTTGTTTGTTTAATTTCAAAGTAATTTATCCTTCAAAATATTCAATTTCTCACTTTTTTTTCTCTTCCCCGATTCTTTTGTCATAGAATAGAAAACCCATTGATCTTTGATTTGGATTCCCTACTATTCTCTGACAGATTATATCTCAAACGTTGATAATTTGTTAAAAGCCAAAATTAATTTCCTTTCCCATACTACAAATGTCTTTTTTTGAAATTAAATATCCACATATCTAAGATTCGTTGATGAGAGCAACAATCATTCTGTAAGTAAATAAAATAAAATTGAAAAATGTTAGTGATCTGAATGTTTGAACAACTTCTTCCACACGAAAAATAACTATTACTATTATAATAATTTATATAATTTTTTAATTGCTGTACATATTTAAATATATTGAAATAATAAAGTCACGTAAATTCGATATATTCCTATAAAACTTATCATACCTGTATAAATAGTAGAAGAAACAAATCAGATAAAATCCAAGTTTAATAAAACATTCTTTCTTATGATTATTAATTGTTCTAAAAATTTCTGTGGCATCGTACATATGTCGATTAGAAGAGATTCTTAAATAACAAGAAATATATTATCTAATTAGTATTTTTATTTATCTATTAGTAATTGAATGTAAAAGGATAAAGTAATTAATGTAAAGTCCTTACTTTTGAACATTATATCCTACTAATGGAACATTAATTAAAGAAGCTATCCAACTTGCATTAATGAGAAACAAGAAAAATAAGAAAGCATGAGCTAGCATTTCGGGAAGTACAAACTATAAAAAAGTTATTTCAATAATAAATTTAGTAATTACTTCGAGCAAAAATATTATATCAATATTAATCAATTACTGACCTGGTTCAATTTATTGCATAAATCAATCGGGTTGATATAATCACATTCGAGATCTGAAAACATAATTGTCTAATGGAACCAACCCGAATTCGGATAGTTATAGATAATTGATATGTTGTTTATAATGTAACCCTGAAAATGACCGCATTTTTAAAAAATAAAATTTTTTATTTGTCTTAGGTCAAAAGTATTTCACACTACCCTCAATCATATTTCAAAAGGATACAAAGAAGACCATCATAAATAATAGACCAGCAGCCATAATGGTACCAAAAAGGAATAATAATGCTTCGGCCGGCATTGTTTAAGATTTTAATGAAATGTATTGGTGTAAAAAATAATATTGAAAAAAGACGCGCAAAGTCGAACGACTTATATATAAAAAAAACTAGATTATTCGGAACTTAATTACATCATCTCGCTTTAAAATTAATCCAATTAAAGTTTGACAACAACAAATAAATTTTATTATCACATGAATTCATGAATAAGATACGTAAAGAACAATACAGAAAAAAAATTCTTTTAAAATAATTGAAATAATGACAGAACCTAAAAAGGATTTTGTGAAATTAACCACTGACGTCCTTGTACTTCAAGAAATCGTTGATCTCGTAAAAGATAATGGAGCTGGGGCGATTACAACTTTTAGTGGCACCACTCGCAATTCCTTTCAAGGCAAAATTTCAAAATAAATAAATTTATATCCACTTTTTTTGAGCTATTTATTCTTTGAGCTACCCTTTGATCTATTCTTTTCTTTCACAGATAAAACAGTAATCAAATTAGACTACGAGTCATACATTCCAATGGCTGAAAAAGTCTTGTTAACTTCAATTTCTGAAACAAGATCTAAATGGGATTTAATAAAAGTTGCTGTTTATCATCGCTTAGGAACTGTTCCAGTAGGAGAAAATAGTGTTATAATTGCAATATCAAGTGTACATAGAGAAGAATCCCTCAAGGCAGTTGAATGGTTAATTAATCAATTAAAAGAAAAGGCACCAATTTGGAAAAAAGAAATTTATAGTGACGGAAGTGTATGGAAAGAAAATAAACATTAATAATAATATAAATAATATATAAAATTTGTAATAAACATTATAGCATTGTATAACGTTGGTAATAATTTTTATCTATTAATAAATCTAGAAATTTATATTTCTATAAATTTTGAAGTTTGATAAGATCAAAGTTTATAATCAAATATATATTTATATACATAAAAAAAACCCCCCAAATTAATATTCGCCTCCGCCTCTTTCTCCACCACCACCACCACGACTGATATTCCCCAGTTGTTGCCTTCTTTGAGCATCCAATTTCGGACATTCCGCAATTCGATGACCAAGACCACCACAAAAGGTACATCCTGTTTTATATAAAAATTTATTTTTTGATTAGACATTTTATAATCCATTTATTTATCGTATTTAACGTACTTATTAAAATATACAATCGTCATACCTCCTTTTAAATCCTTGAGTGGATCCTCTAAAACTTCAAGCACAGGAGGAACCCGTTGTTTGGCTTCTTTGAGTAAATGTTTTAAATCCAATAAAATCTGTTCAGAACAATTCATATTGATAAATGTTGTGGCTACACCCGTTTTTCCAGAACGACCAGTACGTCCAATTCTATGCACTATGACCAATGAAGAAACATTAACTATCCGAAAAATATATATGTATATATAAATATGTATATACGAAATTGTAGATTTCAAATACCGTAATTTTCAATTTCCTTGGGCATATCATAATTAATAACGTGTTGAATATCCGGAAAATCCAAACCTTTGGAAGCCACATCAGAAGCCACTAAAACATCTTTTTTATATTCTTTAAATGAACTAATGGCGAATTCCCGTTCCTCTTGACCTTTTAATTAACAAATTAAAAATTAATATTCACATGTGCTACTTTAATATATAAAAAATTGTTAAAAAATACCAACTTTTTCCTCCGTGAATTGCTACGGCTTCAACACCTTTCAAAAGAAGAAATTCATGAATATCGTCAACATCATTTTTGTTCTCTGCAAAGATAAGCACCTTTGAATATGAAAAATTTTTATTGGAATCAGTTTTAAAAAATATATATATACACTTTTTTTTTTAAAAAAAAAAAAAAAAAAAAAAAAAAAAGGATTATTAACATAATACTTACTGGAGGTGGTGTTTTTTGTAAACATTCTAATAAATACACAATCTTTGATTCCTGTTTAACATATTCCACTTCCTGAATAACATCCAAATTAGCAGCACCTGCACGACCAACATTAACGATCACGGGTTGGACCAATGCTGATCTTGCAAAATCTTGAATTTTTTTAGGCATAGTGGCTGAATATAATAGAGTCTGCCGTTGACTCTAAATAAAGTTACATTACACGTTAGTAAATCATTAATTGATTAAAATAATTCATAAAGAATTAAAAAATACAATATAAATCAACTCACTGTAAAATACGACATAATATTTCGAACATCTTCCTCAAATCCCATATCAATCATACGATCAGCTTCATCTAAACACAAAAACCTAAAACAAACATTAAAAAAGATATAACAAGACAAGAAAATTAAAAGACTAAACTTATAAAACTTACTTGCACAAATCCAAATTAAATTTCCTTTTTTCTAACATGTCCATTAATCTTCCGGGAGTAGCAATCACAATATGAATTCCCTCTGATAATGTATGCCATTGATCCGACATAGATATACCACCGATACATAAAAGAGGTCTTAACTTGGCATAACCATCTCCAGTTAAAAATTCTATAGCAGCACAAATACTATCAAATGTTTGTCGAGCCAATTCACGCTTTTTATAAATAAAAAATAAAAAAAAGATTAAAATTTTGAAATTCTTTAATTTGATAATAATAATATAGATATTTTAAAAAATTAAACTTTACTGATGGGCACACAATCAATCCTATAGGACCTTCGCCTCTAATTAAAGGAAGCTTACATTCTTCTTCTAAAGCAAACATAATTAATGGTAGAGAAAAGGCCAAGGTCTTTCCCGATCCTGTAAATGCAATTCCGATCATGTCTCGTCCTGATAGTCTATAGGAAAAAAAAAATCCAAAACTTTAATCTCTTACCACAAATATTATTCCAATTAAGAATTTAATGTGTAATTTTTTGGCTTACACAACTGGAAGGCCTTGAATTTGAATTGGCGTAGGACGTCGAATATTTTTGGATTTTAAATACTCTAATATTGCAGATGGAAATTTCATATCCTATTGTACGATTAGTAATCTTGTAGTAAAAAATAAATGTAAGTAAATATAAATGTAAATTACCCTAAAATGTTTAATTGGGGGAGGTATATCTTCACCATCCACAAGAATATGATACTTTTGTCGTATTAAATCATGTTCTTTGAGGGGAAGCTCTCGTATATGACGAGGTGGTCTCCATCTATTTAGAAATGAATCATTTAATTTGTATTATTTTTTTTTAATGTAATATTAAATGTGATCATAAATTTGAAAGGTGCAATATACGAACGTTGTAGTCATTGGTTTTGTATAAATAATGCCCTTTGCAAGCTCTCGATCTGAAGCTAGAAGCTTTTTCTGAGCCACAGCTTCCATTATTGCCTTTTCTTCCTCGAGTTTCTTTTCGACATCAGTTTTTGTTGAATCTATAAGTTAATATTACAAGTTTTTAATGATATAACATACAATTTATAATAATATTTTAACAATAAATATATTTGTACCTTCTAACATTTTTTGCTTTTTCACTTCAACAGCCTGATCAATCAGACTCACATTCGCCTTTGGACCGGCTTTAACTGTGTCCTCTACTTCGTCATCGATCTCAACATTATTTTGTGGTTCAATGATACGTCTTTGACTTAATAACTTTTGGAATTTTTCTTGACGCCTTTTTTTTGTTGGAACATAAGGAACGTAATCCTCTTCATTGATATCATTGAGGTCTTCAATTCTTTTATCTTCTTCTGATGAATTTGCCATTTTTTGACGTTTTTTTTTTTAGGAAAGTTCAGTCAGGGATTTTTACCAAATTTGATCGACATTCTAGAATGATCGGTGGGAAATCTTTGAAATTTGATTGGCTCGCACATATTTTTTAGATATAAATTCCGATAAAAAATATTCATTGTTTAACGACTGCACAATTAGTTAATAAGGCGCGTCTAGTTTCCATAATCACAAATAATCCCTCGCAGTCAAAGCTATTTGAAAAAGTAAATGAGACCTAAAAATTTGAGACCGTGTTAATTGAAAATATAATTTCGTTAGGTTTTTATTGACAGAAAATATTTTAAATAACCTTTTTAGTGTCTGCCTACCTTAAACCAAAAGCAAAAGACCTTCCGTGTCTCTTTGCAGAGTTAGTTGAAAAGTATAGTGAAGCTGGATTAAAATCATGTGAAGTAAAGGAATCGCAGAAATGGCGGCATGCTAATAATCAGGAGACAGCTAAGCGACTAACAATTTATCATAATTATCTTCCCGAACTTTCTAACCTTCGTTACAGGAGAATAAAAGATTTCGATCTGATACTAATGAAGATAATGTGATTGCTTCCATTCGATTCGATACTGAAGAAGATAATGAGATTGCTCCCGTTAATCATTCTGATGTAATTCTTGAGCTTGATAAGGCTAAAAGACTTTTGGAGCTTAATCAATTGGAAATTCAGCAAAAGTCACGATCAATAATAGACCTTAATAATCAAATCATACAAATGCGACAACAACTAGAAGGTCAAAGAATCGAAATAGAAGACTTAAATAGACAACTACAGAAAGCTTATGAGGATATGGCCGAGATTCATAATTTATATAACGAACAATGTAAAAAAAATGAACAGTGATTTGTCAATCAACAAGAACGTATTGAGATAATTATTGAAATAGTGAAAGCAGAGCGTGAATTTTTATTTGGTGATGTAGAATCATTAATCAGAAATAATGAAAGGTTTTCTATAGAGAAAATTATGACATACACTTCGCAAGATTGGCTCAATAATCGTAACCAGGTTGTTGTTAAATTTATTGAAACTCTTATTCATAATAATCAAGACACTACTTTGAGTAAGGAAAAATTTTTTAAAACTGCTGTTGTGATTGATGCAATATATGGAGCACAACATGGAAAATATGTGTCAGAAATTCAGCTTGCAGCCTCAGCTGTCAAATATTCAGTTGCACAATCAAAGATGATTATTAATATCGATAATCATATTACAAGTTCTGGAAGTTATTCTCAGTTTCAAAAATGGCTAGAAGAATTGTCAAGCATGAAGAACCATTACCCGAAGGCCTTTTATTTCTTGCGTTTAACAATAAACAAAGGGGTCAAAAAAATTATCTTGATTGAGGATCTAATACAGTTATTTTCCATATTGTTACCAGTTTTGTTGCTTTCAATATGACATCACAAAATAAAATTCAACATACTGATACACCTTGAATATTTAATTCTCTCAACAGGTTATAATACAAAGAACTTTTTGATATCAGCCCTCAAATGCAAGATATTCTTGATAAAGAATTACATAATTTTCTTTCTGAAATTTTTTGTTTATTATCTGAAGAAAAATTATCCATTACTAATATTATTAATTCTTTCATTAGGAAATTTTAACAGGTAAAAATTGTGCAAATTTTCACTTCACAAATTTTTGCAAATTTCTAACACCTTTGGAGGTTTGCACAAAAAAATTTCACAAAATTTCACAATATTTTACAATATTTCACAAAAATTTCTACAATATTTCACAATATTTTGTAAAAATTTCCATAACATTTTCATTAAATTTATAAAATTTGCATTTATATATAGGCAATTTTTTACATTTTATCCTTTAAACCGTACATTTTAGCAGGCAAATTTGTCCGCTTAAATAATTTTGAAAAATTATCCCCTACAAAAAATTTTTTATATAAATGGGATAATTTAAATT